TTCGGCTCAGGTCATGATCCTGGAGTCCCGGGATCGAGTCCCGCATTGGGCTCCCTGCTCGGCGGGGAGTCTGCTTCTCCCTCTCCCGCTCCCCCCTCTTGTGCTCTCTCTCTCTCTCTCAAATAAATAAATAAAATCTTCAAAAAAAAAAAAAAGAATTTTAGCCCCTTAATCACAAGTTTCTGCAAGGATTTGCTTTTCCCTTTCAGTTTATTTGAGGCTCCTGCCCACCCCCATGCCTTTTGACACACAGAAGGCTTGTCCCGGACCTGCTTAGGGTAGAGGCACAGAAGAGCTTGATCAGCTGGATTGCCTAACACCTTCAGGTTTCAGAATCTATTTTAAGATTTTATTTGACAGAGAGAGAGGGAACACACGCAGGGGGAGTGGGAGAGGGAGAAGCAGGCTTCCCATGGAGCAGGGAGCCCGATGCGGGGCTCGATCCCAGGACCCTTGGGATCATGACCTGAGCTGAAGGCAGATGCTTAACCGACTGAGCCACCCAGGCGCCCCAAGGTTTCAGAATCTAAACACTTTCCTCCTCTCATTTTAGTTGCAGTCTTTAGGTATGCTCTCACTAACTTCCAAAGTCAGCCTGACAGCTCTGCTGGCCGGGTTTCTAAATGTTCCCGAGCAGTAGCCATAGCAGCCCATCAGAGAGGGGAGGAGGCGATTCTGCCAGGGGCCCAATGTGGTCTGATGATCCTGGAGCTTAATGCTTAAGGAACAGGTGCCCAGGTGTAGGCTGGAAGATTCAAGTGAGTTCCTTCAAAGTTCTGGCCCGAGGAGGCCACAAACTCTCAGAGTGCAGACCTGGTCCTCTGACTGTAAATTTCTCCACCCAGCCTGAAAGCAGCCTCTCGTCATCCACTCAGCCCAGCGAAAACTTCATGCTGTTGGCGGCTGAGCAGACCAGTGACAGTTTCTCAAATATCTCAGGAAGACCCCAGCTCACAGCAGACAGGTGGGTCATCCAGGCAAGAACCTGCAACATCCCTTCCTGTGGCACTGAGCTGTGGGTGGGGTCAGTGACACCCTCCGCCAAACTAGCTTAGTTCCTTCTTTTTATTCTAGACAATTATGCGTACAGCTTCTCCCCTCAGTTTTATTATAAGCCTGTCCTTGAAAACAGGGTCTGTGGCTGATTGGTCTGAATATTTCCTAGGCAAACTGCAGTGTTTTCATAAACAGTGCTCAATAAAAGGGATGAGGGATGAGTAAATTAATTCAAAGAAGGGTAAGCTAATAAAGCAGGCTCAGGGAGTTAGGTATTGACTGTCTCCAGTCCCAGCTCACCAGGGTCCCCTGGGTGAGACAATTCTGAGTTCTCTTTGCCTCACTTATCTGTTCTGTAAAATGGACAGAATAGACAGTAACCCAAAGCAGAAATGGCTCCAACACCATTTGCTAAGTAATTGTATGGGACTCTGTGCAAAAAGTGATGGAAAACAAAAGCAAATCATGCAACCAATACGCTGAACAAGTACGACCTGAAGGGTATCATCAAAATGTAAATTTATTTTTGTCTTCCCTTTATATTTTTTTCAGTGGGAGAAGCTTTCTTCTTGCCCCGAGATAAAAGCTGGTTCTCTGACCGGCCCCATAAGCATATGGGCTCCCCCTTAAAATATAAAAGATCCTTTGGTCCCTTTAAATTGCAAAAGCAGCATCAATTCTGAAATTAAAATGTCTGGTGCCTGATAATTATCAAAACTGAACTGTTCACAGCTTCCCTCAACCTGGCCTCGTGTTCAGATGGTCCTCCATAGTGGGGACTGGGTTGTCACTCCTCTTGTTCTGTTTCCTAATTTTAAAGCTCACTTTTTCTCTTATGAGCTTTCTTGGGTTCTTTGGAGTCCCATACCTGACACTCCCCCACCCCCACCCCTCACTGCAGCTCTGGTGATGCTCTGACGTCTTCCTTTCATCTGGCCACCACCCCCCTCAGGCTCCGGCTCTGCGGGCATCCACACCACCCAGGCACTAGCTGTCATAGCCCTTTAAGGGAGTCCTCTTGGGCAGGGCTTATTTTAAAGCTAAAGACAGGAGACAGCAACACAGCCCCCCAGAATCATAAGAAGTACTAGGCCATAAACACTTCACAAAAACGACACAAGAGGGAGCTCTAGAGCCCAAACCAGAAAGCTACCTTGACCTACCCTCATTCCAGAAAGTTCAGGAAAACCATTTCACATTAAAAATAACTGTCAGAAAAGGATAGTAATCAAACCCCCACACAAAATTATATAAGGAAAAAAGGAGTATATGAAGCATAGCAAAAGCTTACAGACAACAAAAACACACTAAAAAGACATGCCTTGCAAAACAAATGAAAACTACAACCCAGCATTTCAAAATGAGCTGAAAGAAATTAAGAAAGTGATAGAATATATGAAAGAACAACACAACTCAGAAGATTTATAAATGTGGTGATAAAACCGAGGAAAGAATCAGACATTTTTAAAGAAACGATTATTTCCAAAACGAAGCCTAAACCAGAGAGAATACAAGAGCAAACAAAGCAGATAATGCCTTAAGAGAAATGAAAGGATAAAGGGAGAGCTTAAAGAAAGAAAATAAGCATGTGTCTCACTTAGAATCAAAATTTTAAGAAATTTAGCTACACTCTGTGTTTTTCTAGACACACTAAGTGGCTGTGACTTTTTGTTAAGTTATTACTGTTTTTGGAGAACTGTCTTAAGGTTTTCTTTGGCTTTCTGCTGCTGCCCGGCTGGTTATAGTGGGCCTCAGACGGATCCCAGTGGGCTCAGATCTTGCCTTTGAGTCTTACTTAACACATGAGGTTCTCAACACATAAAAGCGACACTTAAGGTTTGGAGGGGAGTCTGTTCCAGTCCAGCAGAGCAGGCCTTAGCTTGAGCCTCCCTCCTGCTTGGCTTTCTCTGTTCAAGTCACTCTTGATACATCCCACCACATACACATGTTGTCACTGGCCATCATTGCCACGTTCCCATCTATGCTGAAGGCACCTGTACTGGAAAAGACATAATTTAAAAACGGTTTTTAAATTAAATTCTTAACAATGCTTTCTTTTTCTTTTATTGCTTACAATGATCCCCAAATTCCTGGGCTCCAATAGTAACACCAACGTTGCCATCAAAACAGACAAATTGGACAGCTACAAGATACCCTCCCCAGTGGCATCTCCAATCAACTTGAATATACCCATGAGAGCCGCCTTGAGCCACAGCCTCTGGGAACAAGAGAATCCAGATGGGCACTTCCTGCAAGCTCCTGTTGCCAGTTCCCTAGGAGAGAACCTTTTGGGACCCTGACACCTAGCCCAAAGAGGGTGATCTTCCCTAGCTTCATTCCGTGAACTTGCGACAACCTCCTATAATGCTGTTTTCCCACTGTGGGCCAAAGACCATGGGAGAGGTATGATGATGTTTATAACAAAGTGCTGCTGTACTTCCACCAATAAACCTCCAAGTGAGTTCCTAATTGTTATAAGTTGTGCTCTGTGGGGCTTCGGGCTGGGGATGGACTAATTAGGAGCAGGAGCTCACCCCTTAGGGAAATAAGTGGGGAAAATGTTCTGTCTACTCCTTTGAAACCCCAAAGCAGCCAAGAAAAGCCCAGAAATCCAGTCCAGAGGAAACAGCCAGGGCAGAAACCCAAGGTCCTCTTTCAGAGGAGTGGGGGGAACCAGAGGCAGGACTGCTACCAGCCCAAAGGGAAAGAAATCTTGAGAACTATGCTGACCAATTGGGAGATAACTTTGTGTGGCCCCACTTACCTCAAGCAAGAAATTGAGTCTTTACCACCCCAATCCCCATGTTCGTGTAAAGCTGTGAAGGCTCACCCTGGGCCATGCAAACCTTGGTTGCTAATAAAGACATGGCTTCTGGTAAGGATGACGATGACCACCTGTCACTGGAAGGCCTACCTGACTTGACTCTTCCCACCCTGGACCTAACGAAACCTGGAAGACACAGTAACTGTGTGTGCATATGAGGGGCGAGCAGGAGCGTGGGCCAGCCTCTGGACCAATGGCAGATATTTACTTGGAAAATACTACCACAATATGCAGGAACTATTTATTAGGTCCCTGCTAGGTGTCAGACACTGGGCGGGATGCTGGGTAAATTCGAGAGAGGGAGAGAGACAGGTTACCTGCCTTGAGGGAGGATGTAGGAGAGATACTGAGCCCTATTCTGGAGACACAAGAAAGCCATTAAGGTTGACATGGTGTTTGAACCACGGGTCTACAAATCAAGGCTGGAAGCCCTTCTTTCCTAGAGTTCACATGAGAGGAGAGTGACGAGGGAGGAAGAACATGGCCGTCCTCCCCTGTGCACAGTCAGGTGGGCTGAGCACTAAATCCTGGCCCGACCGGGTCAGAAATGACAAGAGCTGAGAGGATGCTTGATGTTTGTGGGTTTCTTCTTGTCTCCAATAAAAATTAAAACAAAACACATTTCCTTCCAGCCTGTTACAGTCAAGCTGAGCATTGCTGGTGCTGGTGAGGAACATCTAGCAGCAGAACTTAGAGGCTGATGTGCAGGATGACCTTCCTTGCTTCCCAATTTATGCCTGTGGTCCTAGGATCATTATCGATATGTACCCACGCCATTCTCAAAGTGTCCCTGCACGAATGGCCAACCACTCGACTGATACACGTGTTTACAAACATTTAGGAGATCCCCCACCCTCACTTCTATTGCCTTGGTTTACGACTCCATCCGCTCTCACCTAGATTACCCTAATAACCCCAGCTGGCCTCCCAAGCTCTCATGGTTATAACAATAGCAGCTAACTTCATTAGCAACTTACCATGTGCCCAACCCTATGCTAAGACCTTACAAATATCACTTAATCCATACAACTCACTGGGAGGAGATCCTCTTGCTAACACATTTATGTGAACGTGAGCCACAGAGAGGTTCAAGAACTTGCTCAAGGTCATATAGGGAGTAAGCAGCAGGGCCAGGACCTGAACCCAGTCTAACTCCAAAGTCCGATGGCTCTCTGATTTCGTCCCAATCCATTTCCCTTCTGCACTGCTGAAGAGCAATCTTTCTGAAACATAAATCTGACTAGAGCCTCACCCTTGATAAAAAACAAACTCTCTGATAGGAAATGACCAGGCCTATTTCTCCAGCCGCTCCACCTTCCAGAGGCTGCTTCCCTTGCACCTCCTGTGTCCACCACACTAAACGCCCCATGCACTTCCGCTTCCGTACTGCAAGGGTGTGGCACGTCCTTCACTCGACGCACGTCTCGTTCCTTGCGCGTCTACCTGTTGCTCTCGCGATACTTGTCCTTCCTGCGGGAGCTCTGCGCGGCTGTTTACCCTGCGTGTGCCTCTTTCAACCTTTCTCACACCGTTACAGTTGTTTACGTGGCCATTGCTTTGGTGGGACTAGGAGCTCTCTAAGAACAGATACCGCTTTGTATTAGAGTTCTTTACCCAAAAAAGGAGCTGACTCTAATTTAAACCAAAGGGAATTTATTGGAAGGGTAGGAGTTAGCTCACAGACTCGACGGGACAGCTGAAGAGCCATTGCTGAATGTGCGGACATCAGAAGAGCTTCGTGGATTCAGGTAAGGGTGGCTCATCAAACATCTCATCCGATGCTGCAGCAGGCTGGGGGGTTCCTCAAGGGAAACGGAGGGGTGCCACAAAAGAACGGCTAGGAGATCAGATGTCTGGTGGCTGATAATAACAAATGTCCACCACAATGTGACTCTCTGCTCTCTGTTCAGAGAGGCGCTCTGCCCCGGGCCTCAGGCATCTCCGCACATCCTTGCTAAGTAAGCCAGATTGCAAGGCCCAAGTGGGTAGTTTTGCTCACTTGCATGTTTCGGGAGAGGGATGAAGAGTTTAGACAGATTGCCTCATACTTTGTGTGTTCCTTTGAAACAGTTTTTTACTCAATACTGTGCCTGAAGGATTCCATTCTGATGGGCAGACTATACAGTAGCATTTGGGGTCCCCTGTCGGTGTTAACTCAGAGTCAGTAGCCCATAGTCCCTGAAAGTTTCTGCATTTCCCTTTTAGGAGGGCATAGTATCACTGTAAATGGCCCAAGGTCTCTTCGGGATGCCTAGGAAAAACGCTCATGGTAGGCGGTTTATGGTGCTTGTAATAGGTCCCTGGTTAGGGATCCCAGCCTTCCCTTCATCCAAGGAGCTGGGGTGTGAGCACCGGGTGAGGACTGAGGAGTGTGGGCAGCCCTGCTTCTCTAACTGTATCCATTAGAGCCGGCTTTCATTTGATGATATAAATGACCTGAGTCATTGCCTCTCCATTTTATTCCTAGAGACCCTAACTCAGTTCTGATCTTCTGGTTGTCAACAGCCAACTCTCACTAGTTCAAGCATAAAAGGAACAGCTCAAAGGATATCCAGTAGCTGGAAAGGCGAGAGAGAAATGGCTTGAAGTCTTACGCAGCCCGGACAAGAAGCAACAGCCCAGCCAGGCAGCAGGACCGCTCCAACAAAGACCCCGTGCCCCACTGTTGCACGCACACTTCAGCTCCCACCAGTGGCCCTGGCCTGGAGGCTGTCGTCCTGGCCTTCTAAAATCAGATGCTTCTACTGCTACCTGCCCCGCCCCGAGAAACATCTCCACGCAGCGCTAGCTTCCTTATGTTGCTCACACCCAAGTCAAGGTCTCATGCGGGTGAGTCTGCTTGGCAGAATTCAGCTTACAGGATGCACCTGAGCTGAAAGGGCGGCTGAGAAAGTCGCCTTTCTGGCTTCCCGAGGAGGTGAAACTCATGATGCGTAAATCCCCAAAAAGAAGTACAGGCAGCCAGAAGGCATGAAAAATGTCCCCAAATACCCTTGATTAATTAACTACGATGCAGAATCTCGAAAGGTCAAACCATTCTCAGCTCTGATTATCATGCATAACTATGCTTCTGGTCCTTGAGTGCCCCCAGAATTCTCTTTTTTTCCACTGAGATTACAGAGCCCATTCGCTAGCTTGAAGAGAGCCTCTTAAACATTCTAGTGCTTTCTCAAAACCTTGAAGAGATGTGCAAGTATTTAGGACCTTCTAAAGGGGCAGTGTCAGGCAAGGGCAGCCGTAGGTACATGATAGATCCAAGTCAACTTTCTTGTCTCCCAAAGGCTTTGAATTCCTTTTTCTACATCGCTTCAAGGAATTTCTGGCCACTCATTGTTCTCTAATGTGAACCAGGTTGAATCCAGCTTTGCTGCAGCCAACACAGCAAACTGTAAGAAATAGACAGCGCTATGAGAAATAGCACAATTATGATGTAATCTCTGGTGAGAGCATCCACATCAGTAAAATCAGCCCTCTCTAAAAGTATGCTCTCCCTTCTTGATGGAGTGCCTTAAAAGTTATTCTCATCAGTATTCGCAGACTTTACATACAGAAATTGTCCAATTCCTTCAATATGTTTTCCTGGGTGAATACTTTCTCTTCCCTGTGCTGATTCCCATACTTAACGTACTCACACCCGCTGGGGCATTGTGGCAATGAATTCTGGTTACTGGCCTAGTAACACGGAGGGGAATGTTCAGCACCCTCCTGCAAGGAGGGAAAGGCTTCCTCTCCCATGGGATGGGCAGCGGGGAGTGTTCAAAAGGACCAGAGGTTTGGGTCTTTCGGGTCTTCTCTGCTATCCCTGTTGCAGTTGATGGAATCTCTCCTGTTACATTGTGCCTCTTTTACACAAGAGACTGGATGGAAGCTGTGACCTCGACAGCCTTCGTAATTCAACAACCGAGACCCAAATCTCAATGTTTTTAACTTTTGTTTTTTGGGGTTTTTTTAAGAGTTTTATTTATTTATTTGACAGAGAGAGAGAGAGACAGCAGGAGAAGGAACACAAGCAGGGGGAGTGGGAGAGGGAGAAGCAGGCTTCCTGCAGAGCAGGGAGCCTGATGTGGGGCTCAATCCCAGGACCCCGGGATCATGACCTTAGCCGAAGGCAGACGCTTAACGACTGAGCCACCCAGGCACCCCTAACTTTTGTTCTTTTTAAGTTACTCAGTGTCATCATAAGCACCCATTTTTTTTTTAAGATTTTATTTATTTTTAAGAGAGAGAGAGAGATCATGAGTGGTGGGGGGGCAGAGGGAGAAGCAGACTCTCTGCTGAGCAGGGAGTCCAGATGCAGGACTCGATTCCAGGACCCTGGGATCATGACCTGAGCAGAACCGACTGAGCCACCCAGGTGCCCCGAAGCCCTCATTGTGCTCCAGTGTCCTGGAATTCATTCCCTTTATATTGTCAAAGGAAGCAAGCACCTAGTTGCAGCAGATACCCTCTGTCATCAAATGGTCCTAATTACCACCAACTGGTCATTTAATGAGCCGTGGACCACTGACAGTCAAGTTCTCACCCCAGCATATAGATGGAATCTTGCTGCATTCAATGCTATCTTGTTGGGGTAATAAACTCCCTGGGGACCTATAACCTGCAACCCCCTCTCTGGTACCAATCTGTATATTGGAGTTCTTCAGGTGCAAGCAACAGGGATGACTCTGAGGCAGAAAGAGCTTGGGTTGTGTGTCCTGTCCACTTGAGAACGGCTTGCAGAATCAGAGAGGCCGTTGAAGAAATGGGGAAGGCTGGAAAGGGCAGACCCAGGGCAACGCCCAGGGCATGGATTTAACCTACACTCTGTTTGGGACGCTCGCTGTACTGAATAAGTGGCTGCCATATTCTCTGTCCTTGTGTTTATCCATTTTACACTCAATGTTCCTGGAATCCTAGCTTGAGCCTTGGGCCTCCGTGTGCCGGTCATCTTCCCTTCTCCCTCCAAATCCACTCCTCCTTTCTCCCTGTTCTCCATGACCCAGAACTCCTCTGGTTCCTGCCTCTTCTCTAAGCTGATCCGTCTAGGCTACATCGAAGGGCCCATTGCCTCTGGAGTCCAGGTGGGTTTGGCCGGTGGGAAGTCCAGGTAGGAGATCAGAAGGAGAGAGGAGAATGGGGTGAAGACAGTGACTCCTTGCCTTGTAGTCACAGAAGGTGTGATGTAGGAAAGATGTTAGGGTTTGGAGCTGATGGTCAAGAAAGAATTCTTGAGACATCTTTGGTGCAAAAAGGTGGTGTTATTAAAGCCCCAGGACAGGACCTGTGGGCAGAAAGAGCTGTACTGGGGTCCCAAGGAGTGGCTGATTATATACTCTCAGGTTGGGAGGGGGTTAGGGATAGCCTAAGTCTCTAAGGAATTTTGGAAGCAAGGTGTCCAGGACCTTGAGGAGGCTAGCTATTGTTGGGAAAAGGTCACTTATTACCATCTAATGAAACCTTAGTCATGAAACCCTTCAGATGTATATCAGTGAGTCGTATGCTTGGGGGATGATTGCCAACATGTGTCTTGGGGGGTAGAGATAAAGGAAGTTTCCAAAGGAACTTTTACATGTTAAAGTAGACTCACGGGATCTTGGTGGTCGTGCTAAGATTGACTTTTGCCCTTAGCAAAGTACTTAAATGGAAGCAGCTGAGTACCTAGAGGAATGTCACTCTGCCTGTTTCAAGGACTTGTCGGTGGGCTATAGGTAGTAAGGAAATTTAATTTTTCTTTTGCCTTTGTTTCCCACATCAAGGTGGGCTGTGTCCCTGAACAGAAAGAAACTGCTTGGTTCATGGTGGCCTATTCTACTCAACGCTTTCCTAGTTCCAGAACCACTCCCTCTGCTAACTCTTCAGGTCCCTTGTAAGCACTTAGCTGAATTCTCTATACTGAGCAGGAATATCATCCCCCTTACTCCTGAAGTTTCCTCTCGGTACGTTTCCATCCACGGACCCTCACCCTGTTCCAGAGCCATGACCAGGCTGCCCTGGCTACATGACCCTTGCTGGGCTTTCTTCCAGTCTGTTGCTTCTCTTTTGGCTCCTGCCTATCCCCCAAGCCTGGTTCCCTTAACTTCCATTTGTGGTAAAGACCTGCCAATAGTTTTCCGATGAATTCCCTGTGGCTTAGGTTGACCTGTCAGTTTCTGTGCCTACAACCATGAAGTCTAACTGATGTGGTGCTGTTCCCAGAAAAGTGGATGCTGTGTAGGCAAATATATCAGCCATCGGTATCTTAGTCATTTGTGTATCCTCCAGTGTCTGGGGCCTGCTAGACACCTAATTAAAGGGTGTTAAATAAACCCATTTCTGCCACAACCGGCTCTGGTGCCCCACAGTGTCCTTCCCAACCCCCCATACCTCCCAGCACGGAAGAAACTATGGCCTTTGCTGAATGGATTTATCATTAAAACTGAGGTCTCAAACTCTTTCTTTCTTTTTTTTTCAGAAACTATTTCTTAGGTGAAAATCACATCGCATAAGGGATTAGTAAAGCTTTTAATAGCCAATAAACACACAATTTAAAAGAGAAAAGAAACAAAACATTGTGATCCAGAGTCAATTAGAGCCCACCAGAATAGGACATCTGCGAAAACAATCGCCAAAACAATGTAAGAATGCATCTTAAAGTTTCGGAAATGGAATTCAGAGAAAATGTCCTCAAGGAATAATACCAAGACAGACCCACTTGAAATGTGCGATGGACTGAAATGAAAGCCTCACAAATGCCCTTATAAATCTTAAGAAAAATAACAAACGGCTGGTCAGTTAAGACTCTAGTGTTACTGGGCGCCTGGATGGCTCAGTCAGTTGAGCGTCTGCCTTCAGCTCAGGTCATGATCCCGGATTGAGCCCCACATGGGCTCCCTGCTCGGCTGGGAGTCTGCTTTTCCCCCTGCCCCTCACCCCTCATGCACGCGTGCTCTCCCTGTCTCTCAAATAAATAAATCTTACAGGAAAAAGAAAGACTGTAGTGTTATTGATGAGACAGCAGGTAGAGGAAGCAGAGATCTCGGGGACACGGGAAATGTAGAAATGAGTGGTCCTGACCTGCATCCTGAGGGTACCAAGGGATTCCCTGAAGAACTCTCAGAACCAAGGGCCTTTGATTTAGAAAACACAACAAAACACAGAGGTCTTATCTTCAGCAAGAATCCCCCTGACTTCTGAGATTTCCTCAGTGATTTTCCATCTGGAGGACCGCCCCCCCCCCCCGCCGTCCTGCCCCTGGGCTATACATTCCCACTTGCCCCCAGCTGCATTGGGAGTTGAGCCCCAGGCCTCTCCCCACTGCAAAATTCCATCACAATGGTCCCTCTACCGATTGTGATAGCCTCCCCCTTCCCCACCCGACGCAATAAAGTCTTCCTTACCCTGCGTAAAAATCAAACCAAAACAGAAAACAACCGGGAAGCCCACAAGGGTTCAATCTTGAGAAATCCACAAGACTGTGGTTTCAAAACAGGGAAACAACAACTGGGAGTGGTAAAGCTTCATAAACAAGCATTTAAAAATGAACGTTTAGAATTCTTAAGGCTAAGGCCACTTACAGAAGCTATAACTTGAATGGAAACAGCCCAAAATAATCAATCTAGAGATGTTTTCAGAGGGGGCTGTTCTGGTTTCTGCTCTGTCTCGGACTCCTGCCTGACTTAGGATAGATTAATTTCCCCACTGGGGATGTGGATAATGTTTCTTTTTAATTAACACTAAAAATTCTAATTATGCCCAAACAAAACACTGGTTTTGACTGTTAATATTTGCAATAGGAAACATACCACGTGTCCATGACATGCAAAGAAATAGTCACAGATGGTTTATTCTAAAATGGTTTTACAACCCCCTGAAGTCTCAGGCACTTTGCCTTGCAAAAGAAGGAAAGGAATTTCTGTCACAACCATTCCCTCCCTTCACTGCCATTCAAGGGATATACCTAGATGCAAGAAGAATGTGACAGCTAGTGGTATGAAATTGTCACACACGCGCCCTCAGGACGTTCCATCTGTAAATGCTTTGCATTTTTAAAAGTGTCTCCTCATCAGCAATCAAATGTGATTCTCTTAATTGTATGAGATGGCTGCTATTATGAACTATACTTCACAGAGGAGAAAAGTAAAACCCAGAACAGCTTGGCAGGAGCTTCAGGCAGCTCGTGATTCTCAAAGTCCAGAGGGCAGGAGGACAAGAGCCTCTGGGCATCTCCTCACAGGCGTCCGTCCCCATCGTGCCCGTTCCTGTCAGCGTCCTCATGGAGACCTTTGGTTGCAGGCTCAGCGCAGCCAAGTTGCTAAGTCAAGGTGCCCGCCAGCCCCAAGAACGCGCTTGCTTTCATACGTCTATGTAGCAGAGCGGATAACTGCCACCAGGTGGCGCCCCACCGCGGCTGGGACCCCAGGGCTGGGGATTGGATGCGCAGCGCCCAGCCCCGTGGCGGAGCAGGCTTATCTCAAGCATTTCATTAACTTCACTGTAACACCATTCCATCCCGATTGACTATTTGGGACCCCACTTATCAATTTATAGTGGAGTTTTACTGTTTTCGAGTAGCCAATTCAATACACCTTTACAGGTCTTTTTTTTTTTGTAATTTTTTTGGTAACTACTGCATTCTGGGTACAAGTTTCTGATTATATTTCATTTCAACCTCTAATAGAGTCATGCACCAGCATTTATATATTGGAACATATATTATTTTATTATAGTTTTTTTTCTTTTATATCTAACTAGGCTAGCATATCGTCTTTAAAAGAATATATATAGGTAAGTTTTAATTGCTGAATGTTATTTCAGAATGGTAAAGGGGGAGTTACAATGTGTTAGTCATGAAAAGGGGATTTGGGTGTGACAAGGTTGAGAAGCACTGTATTGGAGCATTGACCTTTTCCTCAACATTGCCCTCCTGACTTTGATGATACTTTGACCACAACATTTAGCTTACTTCACTCTCTCCACTTTTTTTTTTTTTTACCCCACCTCACCCTGAGGCTGCTCCTCGAAGCTGCTTTGCTCTGCTGGTCCCACACTTGCGCCCCAGGACTATCCCAGCCGTGCCATCACCCCCTCCTGAGGCTCTCTCCCGCCCCCTCCCCAGCCCCACAGCCACATCCTGCCAATTCGATCTTCACCCCAACTCACTTCTCATCTCCAGTTTCTTCTGGACTGTCTGTCCAGTGAGGAGGACCTGGGCTATGCTCTCTCCTGGCAGTGTTTAAAATGTCTTCTTCTCTAGTTGGGGGTATATCGTGTTCTCATGGGGTAATTTGTCAATTGAGCCTGAAGATCTGAAAAACAGAGAGCCCAGCTGAGCTTTTCTGCTTCTCCTGAGGTAGTGCTGTGATCAACAGGGGCTTCTCCTCTTGCAGATTTTTCTCTTGTTTTCTCTGAGCTGATTACTCACTCCCTCACGCTGCCTCCCTCCAATTTGGGGGGACGGATAGGAGTAGGTGTGGGTAATTTGTGAGAACACACACAATTTTATTGAATAGCTTTCCTTCTCTGTTATCAGACCATACCCAGATTTTCTGTTCTATTTTTTGGCCATGACTTAACCTCTTGTTAGGTTGCTACTAGTTAGATTTTGGGCATTAAAAAAACTATTAATGTATTTACTGTGGACGTCAGAGGGAGTAATTCTGTGACCTGGCTTCTTTGCAGAGGCTGCTGATTGTATACTGATAGCCTTCATCCTTAATTAATAAATAACAGGACCCCCCAGTTCTAGGTGGGCTCATGGCCATCCAGCTAAAAGCTACATTTCCCAGCTTCCCTTGCACCTGGGTGTGGCCATGTGACTGAATTCCGACCAATGGGATGTGAGCAAAAGTGATTATGCCATTTCTAGGTCATGCCCTTAAAAGGAATGAATGTGCCCTCCTCTCCCCCCTTCCCCTTCTCACTGGCCAGTATGCAAATGTGATTGGCAGGAGCTGCAGCAGCCACCTTTAACCCAGAGACAGAGAGTGCCATATTGACAATGGCAGAGATACTCCACCGGCTCAGGACTGCCTATCTTTGGACTACTGTGTAAGAGTGAATCAAAATTCTATTTTAAGTCACTATATTTTGATGTCTTTTGACTACCTAGACTATAAGTAATTCATATAAGCCTCATGCCATTACCTTTACCCAGGAGCCTGAAGTTATTTGCACTTATTTGTGTTTTCTTATTTCAAATTGTACGTTCTGTGTCTTCCTTTTATAAAAAATTAAACTGTTAGCTAGTAGTCTAATTTTTTTCCCCAAGAACCAGCTTATGGATTTATTTATCCCAGTGTGCTTAGTATTTTAAGATTATTTTGGCTTCCTTTACACTTGAATGGAGTCATTCAATGTAAATCCCATTTGTGGAATTATTGGGTCATATCCTTTCTCCTCAACATTCTTTCACATCGTTCCATTGTCTCATGCCATATAAAGTTGCTGAAGTCTGGGCGCCTGGGTGGCTCAGTTGGTTAAGCGACTGCCTTCAGCTCAGGTCATGATCCCAGGGTCCTGGGATCGAGTCCCATGTCGGGCTCCCGGCTCAGCGAGGAGCCTGCTTCTCCCTCTGACCCTGTCCTCTCTCATGCTGTTTCTCTCTAGCTCACTCTCTAATAAATAAATAAATAAAATCTTAAAAAAAAAAATAAAGTTGCTGAAGTCTGAAAAAAGTCTCATTTTATTCCTTTGGTAGATTGTCTGCTGCTTCTATCTGGATATTTGTAGTAGGATGCTTTTGTTGTGCCTAAGATTTAGGAACTTCACAAAAGCTATATTGGTCTCAGTGGTTTCTTTACTCAGTTTACCTGGAATAGAGTAAATCTGTTTGTGTGCCAGATTGGGTCTTTTGTTTCAGAAATGGCTTTTTCTTTTATGTTTTTGACTACTTTTTCAATTCCATTTTTTCCCTCTTCATCAGGGACTCTAGCTGTATGTTGGGTCAACATAAATGTCTCTCATAGCTATCATTTTCTTTCCATTCTCTTTGTCTCTTGCCCTTCTTTATTGTACTTTGTGTGATAGTCTCTGACCTGCTAACCATGTCACTGACTCGGTTTGCTGTCATGTCACCTTGTGGCTTCTAATGTGACTGTCAGATACTGAGTGGGTTTTTCTTCTTTTTTTTCCCCTTACCTCATCAGGTCCCCTTTTCATCTTATTTTGGTATCTCTGATTTTGTTTGTTTGCTTGCTTGTTTCATGAGAACTATAAGGTCCCCTGAGAGTACAGAGAGGATTCTTGTCAAGGACTTTATTCTATTTCCTGGGATCATTTTTCTTCAGATATACATTCTTTCCATGTATTTTCCTATGGACATGCTTTGAGAGAGAAGGGTAATATCTTACATAGATCCCATGGTAGCTCTTTACTAAGAAATAGTGACTATTTTAATTAAAAAAAATACCTGAATCCATCAGCCCTTTATTTATTTATTTTTAAAAGATTTTATTTATTTGTCAGAGAGAGTGAGAGAGAGAGAGCACAGCAAGGGGAGTGGCAAGCAGAGGGAGAAGTAGGCTCCCCACCAAGCAAGGAGCCTGATGTGGGTGGGACTTGATCCCAGGACCCTGGGATCATGACCTGAGTGGAAGGCAGACGCTTAACCAACTGATCCACCCAGGTGTCCCTCCATCAGCTCTTTAGATATAAATTCTATTTCACAGGAAAAATAGTAGCTAGACAAGCAAACTGAACACCACAAGGAAGTAACCAGACAGATCCGGAAGGTGAGATATTCTGTAGGACAACTACCTCAATTGCTTCCACTAGTAAGTGTCCTAAAAAAGGACTGTACTAGATTAAAATAAACTTAAGGGGAATGTGTGGTCCTGGATTGAATACCGATTTGGATAAATCAGTTGTAAGAATAATTGGAGTTAATTGGAGAAATTTTAATATGGCCTAGAAAGTAGGTAAGATGAGACAAGAGAAAAGTATACCAAAATACAAAGGTAGAAAGTGTTGGCTAAATAATACAGGTTATAAAAAAGTTATAAACAATTTTTAGAGCATAATCTCTCTCTCTCACTCTCTCACACACACACATACACACATACATGGTTGTTGCAGTGATGTTCTCTGGGAGGTAAGAATATGCTGTTTGTTTTTTAAACTTGTCTCTATTTTCTGATGTTCTACAAGCACATGTCCTGCTTATGTAATAGTTTTTTGTTTTTTTTTTTTAAATAGTGACACAGATTTAAATGGGACAGATTTGCCTTGAAGATAATAAAGCTTATGCTTTAGGGCCCTTTGTTCACATGGAAACTTCCAAGGCCCTAGGAGGGCTTCTGGCAATTTTGTATCACATTTTTGAGGGGATTTTTTATTTGTTATGTTTTAGAAATGTTTTACTGTAGTAAAATAGACATAAAATATACCATTTCAAGCAGACAATTCAGTGGAATGACGTACATTCACACTGTTGTGCACCCATCACCACGCCCCACCTCCAGAACTTTGTCATCTTCCTGAACTAAAACTCCCTATTGCCCCATCCATCCAGTATTTTTATTTTTAAGTGTCTCCAAAATTGTGTACGCTTTAAGCGCCACAGCACCCTGGTCCAGCCCCAACTGACAATCAGATATCCTGGTCACTCCTGAGCAAGCTTTGAAATGATATTTGACACTAGTAAGTGATTTTAGCCTCAAACCAAAGTGCTACCAACATTGCCAAGGGGACAAGATCAGCAGAGGAGCAAGAGAAGCAGACTCCCCACTGGGCAGGGAGCCCCATGTTGGGCTCCAACCCAGGACCCTGGGATCATGACCTGAGCCGAAGGCAGACACTTAACTTACTGAGCCACCCAGGAGCCTTGTATCAGCAAGTTTTAAGCCTGACTCAGTATGACAGAAAACCCAAATTTATTTCTCTGATACATAAAAGAAGTCTGGAGGTACACAGTCCAGGCAGGACTAGTATGGCAGTTTTATGATCATCAAGGAACTGCAGCCCTTTTATCTTGCCATGCTACTGTCAGTAGAATGCTACTTCATGGCCCAAAGGGGCTGCTCAAGCTCCCACTGTCAAGTCTCTATTCCAGCCAGAAGGAAAAAAATGAGTGAAAAAAGTATGCCCCTTCCTACAATGTTTCCTCACCACAGATGCACGGTGGGCTTACATCTCTGTGGCCACAACATAGTCACATGGCCTTACCTAGCTGTAAGGGAGGCCAGGAAATGTAATTTTTATTCCAGAAAGTTGTGCCCAACTAAAGATCAGACATTCCATCATTAATAAAGAAATGGAGAGCATGGATATTGAGAAAGGCAGCTAAGCATCTGTCAAATAGTTTTTAAAAAGATTCAGTGTGCTAGTTTTTGAGGTTTGATGGGGGCAAGTAGGAAAAGACATTTGACTATTGCTTAGGATTTTGTTTAGAGCCGAAAGCTCATTTCCTCACAATTAACTTTCTAGACTGGGAGCTAAAGCCTCTTTCAATCCCACAGAAGTGGGCTAAACAGGCTTGCACAGAAAACAGGAAACATCATCTTCCCCACCGAAGGGGACTTTTGGATGTCTCAATGGCCAAATACATCCAAACCACATAGCTAGACCAATAGCTTGACTGTGGTGGGTAAGCTTTAACTTAAACCAGTGTGTTAGCTGCCATCACGTTTGGACTGTGTTGCTTCCAGAGAAATGGTAACCTCCGGACGGGGTCTCTTGACCCCCTCCTTAGAGACTATTCCATGGAGGACATTTGTCCCACGTGATAAACAAAAGAAAACGAGGAACAGGAATGCCACAGTTGCTTTACCAACTACGGAGTGGTTTCCAGTGCTTGAACCGGGCAAACTAGAAGCGGCCAGGTGAGGGGCGGATGGAATCAGATCAGCAGGGCCTCATGACCTTTCAGCTGCCTCTCTGACTTGCTAATGAAATAGAAAAATAAATCTTCATGCTTGTATATCGCATACACTGGTTGTCCAATTGCTTTTCTGAACTGATCACCTTTGATTTTGATAGATAATACATCGTTTAGCAAATTCCGGGATTTTGTCCAAATTAGAATACAATTTCTCCCCGAAGTGGCCTTGAACAGCGGTCAGCCTGCTTCCTTCTTTGTCCTTGACCTAGCCACTGCAGGACTTGGGCTCTTGCTTCTTCTGACTCCAGGATGAGCATGCTGTCACTCTCTGAGAAGGGGAACATTTTGGTGATCTAGCAGAACTGCCCTGTCGCAGTTCTAATCTTCTCAGCTGGGCACCCTCACAGAGCCAGCCTCTGGGTAAGAAACTAATTACTTGGACTCTTCCTTCAGTTTGACCTCCTAAGGGAAATGGGCCTGCAGAAGTAACCACCCAGGCGTAGCAGAGCATGGAGCAGGGCCCAGCAATTCCTTCCAAAACGGAAAAGGCTCCTGCGGATAAACCGGTGTGTTTTGTGTTCCCGCCTCATGCACAGCTCGGAAAGGCTGGGTTTTAAATAGACAACAGCACATAAAACTGCTTGGGGTAGGTTGCATTAAGAGTAAGGGAGGGTTGAAAGGCAGGGAAGAAAACAGCCTCCCAGCAGCCTTCCTTCCTTGCTTCCTGCCTGGCTCACCCCTTTCCCAGCAAGCTCTGGGGGCCCTATGTCCCCAGACAGGGGCTGGGGAATATCAGGGCAGAAACAAGCCCTCTGGAGGCAAAGGGAGGCTCCTCTGCATTTCCCTTTCCTGCAGGCCTGCCCTGGTTTTTTCATGATGTCATCCATTCATCATTGTGAGCTGATTGGCGGTCCCAGGCCTTGGCTAGCTGCCCAGGGCCAGGAGGGAAGAGAGAGATACCAGGGCAAACTTGCAGCAGGCCCCTGAGCATGTGCGGAAATGTTGTCATCAGTTCCACAGAGAAAGACTCGGTGGAAATCAAAGAAGACAGTAAAAGTCACAAGATCTTTTCCAACCTTCCCTTCCCTGAATGCCTGGGAAGAAGTCAGGGGCCTCTTGCCTGTGGATGGGGAGCCAAACCCTGGAGTTGGCCTGGGTGTGGAGGAGGGACTGCTCTGCCAGATGCTTCATTCTCCAGAATTCAACCTATTTCCTGACTCAGTGGTGTTTGAAAGCAACTTTGTCCAGGTACTCTTGGGTCGCTCAGAATGGCACTCCTTGATTCTTCTCAACCTGTTCCCAAGATGTGACCAAGAGAGTCTGTCCCAGGGACTGGAGTGGAGTGAGAACTGGGGCAAGGAGAAGTCAGTGGGCCTGGAATGCATCTGACCCTGACCTTGCAGAGCCCCAGACAGGGCTTCTTCTGCAGACACTTGTCATCGTGGGGACAGAGGTCAGGAGTTCTCTGCTCTGAGTAGAGGACTTGGTATCTGAATCCCTCCATGTGCTTCCTTCTCCAGGGTGTCAGCCCAAAGAGGTGAACAAAGAGGCAGTGAAATGGGCTGCCCTTGGAGGGTTTGTAACAGAAATGCTGATTGGTGAAAGAACAGGAGCCGGGCCCCCGAGAGGGACCAGGGCTCAGAGTCTCTGCTTTCATGAGGTGTCACTGTGCAAGTGACCTGCGTGCCCCAAATCCCAGTTTCCTCTATTATAAAAGGGGTGGGACCAACCTGGTTGTTCTATGCAAACACAGGAAGCAAAGGCCCAAGTACAACGGGCACTCAGGGCATTTTTTTTTAAAAGACTTATTTATTTGAGAGAGTGCATGTGAGTGCACTGTGCAGAGGGAGGGCAGAGGGAGAGGGAGAGAGCAAGAATCTCAAGCAGACTCCCCGCTGAGCACAGATCCCACGACTGGGGGGTTGGGGGCTCCATCCCAGGACCCCAAGATCGTGACCTCAGCCGAAATGAAGAGTCAGCCGCTTAACCGACTGCACCACCCTGGGGCCCCTCTGTGCATTTTTGTTTCCTTGCCAGCCCTTCCTTTCCTCAGGCCAGGTAGAACCCAGAATAAACAGACCTTGGGAGCTGCAAGGGACCTCACAGTTCAGGGAAAGTGCAGGAGATAATAGGGCCCCTCAAAGAATGGCCTAAGGACAAATTTTTCAAAGAAAACCCAGGAAACAGTGTGGGGAAGAGTCACAGAAACGTGACACAGGTCCAGGAACTCCTGGGCTATGGTTCTTGTGGGCGATTGTTGATAGGAGGTAGTGTAAATACTCTTACCGTTGTTCAACCAACATAGGTTTAAAGATTTTATTTATTTATGTATTTATTTGACAGAGAGAGACAGTGAGAGCAGGAACACAAGCAGGGGGAGTGGGAGAGGGAGAAGCAGGCTTCCTGCCGAGGAGGGAGCCCGATGCAGGGCTCGATGCAGGGCTCGATGCAGGGCTCGATGCAGGGCTCGATGCAGGGCTCGATGCAGGGCTCGATCCCAGGACCCTGGGATCATGACCTGAGCCAAAGGCAGACACTTAACAACTGAGCCACCCAGGCGCCCCACCAACATAGGATTAAACAGTGGGTCTCAACAAGCATTGATTTCGCCTGCCACCGCCAGGGGGCATTTGGCAACCTCTGGAGATATTTTTGATGGTCCCAACTTGGGCGGGGGGAAGGGATTGCTACTGGCGTCTAGTGGGTAGAGACGGAGGCTGCTACTAACCATCCTGCAGACGCCCCTGCCCCCAAACAAAGAATTAGCCAGCCCCAAATGTGAATAGGGCTGAGGTTGAGAGACCCCTCAGCTAGAATACACTGCTGCTTCTGCCAAATGCTCAGGCTGTGCCCATGGGGCTGCTTTGCAGGTCAGAAAGGGCAGGAACTGGATAGACATCTACAAAGCCTCCAACACCATGGCCCTTGGGGTAACCTCCTCCGTGCCCTGCCTGCCCCTTCCCAATATCCTCCTCATGGCTAGTGTCAAATGGCACCAGGGACAGAGCCAGACATGGAACAGACCATCTATGGCCCCAAACATCAAGCTGAAGAGGTAAGCAATACAGATGGGAACAGAGGACGAGTAGGGTGAGGGGTGGACCCAAAGTAGAGGCTGCTTTGTGACTCAACTCAAAGTAGGGAGAAACAGAGAAGTCGCTGGCAGTGACATTATTATTGTAGACAACAGCAGCCCGAGACAGAGGGTGCACTGGAAGCATTAGGCCAAGCTTGGGGGAGGGGGGCAAAGGGAAGTGTTATGCGGTCAGCAATGAGAAGCCAGTCAACATGACTTCTTTCCTTCCTGTTGCTCTCACCCCACTGAATCCATAGCAAATCTCCCTGCCTCGGGCTGAGGGGCAAGGAAACAGTGCGGTGCAGCCAATGGAGCACTGATTGGGAGACGCAGACTCTAGTCTTTGGTATCCAAATGACCCAAATAAGTTTTGAGTCTCAAGCTATTTGCCTCATCTCAGTTTGCCCGGGGTCAAATGAGCGGAACGAAGTCTCACTTAGAACTGTAACATACAGGAAACTCAGACTCCTCTGGGATGAAACAGCCCTTTCTGATGTTCGAATCTCTTCAAGTAATCTGTAGGATATCTCAAGAATCTCTAGAGATTCCCAGAAGCCCAGGCAAACCCTTCATTTCTCCATGTCAGCTTGGTGATAAACCTCACCTTTATGTTCTGGGTGTACCTATAGAAAGTACAGCCCAGTTTCTTGAACTCTAGCCCCTTTGGGAAGAGTAGTGAAAGCACTGGGGTCAATGAACAGACAAGCTGGAAGTTCCCTTTATACTGTCAAGAAGGAAACTGAAAACCCCTATGACCCCAGCCTCCTTACTCCAGGGCTAGCTCTCTCAGGCAGGATCCCAGGGAACACCAGCATGAGAATCATGGCAGATTTCAGGGCCACACCCCAGACCTACTGAATCTGAGTTGTAGGGGATATCTTGAGGTGTCTGCATTTTAAACAAGCGCCCCAGGTAAATCTGGTCTCCCCAGAGTTTGAGCACCACGGTGCTAAACATTCTCTCTCCTACCCCCAAAAACCTCAGTCCTGTAGGAGACACTCCTCATTTTAACGAAGTCAGGGTTGGATCAGAAGCCATAGGGTTGCCATGGTGTGTCTTCCCTTGTGGCTTCAGGATCCTCCCACTGAAGTTTGTGGAGTTCCAGGTCTGTGACCGGCTTCAGCGCATCCTGCGTTTGAGGACAGTCACCGAGAAGATCTACTACCTAAGGCTCCACCCTGACCATCCTGAGACTGTCTTCCACTTCTGGGTCCGACTGGTTCAAATTCTGCATAAGGGCCTGTCCATCACCACCAAGGACCCTAGGATTCTTGTCACTCACTGTCTGGTACCCAAGAACAGCTGCAGCCCCTCGGGAGACTCTAACGTAAGTGGGCACCATTGCCACCTCCAGCAAAGGCCAGAGCTGAACTGTGGAGTTTAGGTGAGCTGGTATGTGAGCACCCTGTGAAGGTGATCCCTGCCTTAGGCCTTTGCTAATCAGCTTTATTGAGGTATAATTTACAACCATAAAACCCAGCCCTTTCAAGTATACAGCTCAACAGTCTCAGTAACTGTATAGAGTTGGGCAACCATTACTACCATCCAGTTTTAGAAAACTTCCATCACCCTAAAGATTCCCTTGTGCCCAGTTGCAGTCATTCAAATGTCCCTATTTCCTGCCCTAGGCAGCCTTTGATCTGTGTTCAGTCTCAATAAATTCATATTTCTTAGACATTTCATATAAATGAAATCCTACAACATATAGTCTTTTATGCCTGGCTTCTTTCCCTTAGCATGATGTTTTTCAGGCTCATCTATATTGTAGCATGAGGTCAACTCTGTGGCAGAGTCACAGACTATCCGTATTCCTTTTCATTGCTGAATAGCATTCCATAGTATAGACAGACCACATTTTGCTTGTCCATTCACCAGTTGGACATTTGCATTGTTTCCAGTTTTTGACTATCATGAACAATGCTGTTATGAACATTTGTGTACAAGTTTTTGCATAGATGTATGTTTCATTTGTCTTGGGTAGATTCCAAGGAATGTAATGGCTGGGTCATGGAATAAGTTCCGATTTACCTTTCATTTTTTAAAAATTTTTTAAAGGTTTTATTTATGTACTTGACAGAGAGAGAGCACACAAACAGGGAGAGCGGCAGGCAGAGGGAGAGGGAGAAGCAGGCTTCCCGCCGAGCAGGGAACCTGATTCAGGGCTCGATCCCAGGACCCTGGGATCATGACCTGAGCCGAAGGCAGATGCTTAACCGACTGAACCACCCAGGCGCCCCTAGATTTAACTTTTAAAGAAACTGACAAACTATTTTTCAAAGTGGCTTACCCTTTTACCTTCCCATCAGCAATGCATGAGGGTTTCAGTTTCTCCATATCCTCACCAACCTTGTGTTTCTGCAATAAAAATTCCACCTGGTCATGGTATATATAATCCTTTCTATATGTTCCTGGATTCAGTTTGGTAGCATTTTGTTAAAGATTTTTGCATCTATGTTCATTAGCGATATTGGTCTGTAGTTTTCTTCAGAAATCTTTGTGATACCCTGACTTTGGTCTTAGAGTAGTACTAGCCTCATTGACTGATTTAGGAAGTGTTCTTTCCTCCTCTGTTTTCTGAGTTTTTGAAGAATTGGTATTACCATTAAGTATTTGATAGAATTCACCTGGGCATTTTTGCCCCAGGCCTTAAGATGTGACATCAGACCAATTTGAGCTGCAACGTAAACTCCATGAAGGCAAAGGGTTTTTCCCCATCTTCTTAGCTGTTATATCCCTAGTGCCTGGTACAATGCTGACATTCAATAAATAATGAATGAATGCATGAATGACTATGAGCAGCATGCACGGCTGGAGTACCTATGGGGGTATCACAGGCAACAGGAAAGAAAGCAATTTTACCCAAGTGTGAAAAGCAGCTCAACATAGGATTTTTCTTAGAGAGATTAATTTTTTTAAAGATATTATTTACTTATTTGAGAGAGAGAGAGAGCTCCAGCATAAGGGGCAGAGGGAGAGGGAGCCGACTCCCCACCGAGCAGGGAACCCAAGGCGGGGCTTGATCCCAGGACCCTGAGATCATCACCTAAGCTGAAGGTAGACGCTTAACTGACTGAGCCACCCAGGCGCCCAGATAAATTATTTTTTTAAGTATCTATTAAATTCCTACAACAGATATTTGATCCCCCTACCCTGAAATATAAAACCAAGTAGCAGAAGCTTTATTAAAGTTTATAGGAATAGGCTATTCAGGAACGTGTGAAGGTACGTTAATAAGAATAGATTATCTAGGGCACCTGGGTGGCTCAGTTGGTTAAGCGACTGCCTTCGGCTCAGGTCATGATCCTGGAGTCCCGGGATCGAGTCCCGCATCGGGCTCCC